CTGACATTTCCCTGCTGTGGGACAAATAAAGGATCTCTTAATCTTAATAGTATGCAACAGCACTTTACGTCACAGCAGCAGAGGTGGAGAAGCCGCTTGGTTTGGTTCACCCTCGCTGTGTGAAGGAGAGGTTCCGTAGGTCTTTCCTTCCTGCTGCTGTCAGACTGTACAATAAGAACTGCTGAGCCTGTAAATTTCATTAATCTGTAAATAAGTAAATTCTTAAATCCTGTGCAATACTGCAACTTCAGAATATCCACTGAACAATGTCACTTTACTTCTACTACTACTTATTATCCTGCACTATATGTACAGGTCATAACTCTGCACTACTACATGTATATATTTTTTGACTGGTATTGAAGCATTTCCAGCATCTGCAGCCAGTTATGTTAGTTAAGAAACATAGCTACCGCGTAATTTGTATATATTGTGTGATCCCTGTGTGCTCTCACTACTGTCCTGTATGTGCGCTGCAACATCAAAATTTCCCCACTGTGGGACGAATAAAGGAACTCTTATCCTCTCTTATCTTATGACCATTTTCTCTGTTTCAGCAACAACTGTTTCAAATCTATGCAGGACTTGCTGCCGTTTCCAGGGCATTCAAAAGTAATTAATAAGTTATACAGTATGTAATGTATTGGTTTTACATTTTGAATTACACGTTCAATTTCACCTGTATGCAACAAATAAATAGCTGCGGAATATTCCAGGTACATTTTAATTGTCAGAGTTTCACCTGTGTACAAATGGGTTATGTTTATCAAGGGTCCGTGTGTGTTGAAGCATGCTTAGCACCCTTTAATATTGACATTTTGTATAGCCCTAGATCACAGCAGTAGTCATCTCTTCACAAAACCGTTGATCCACCAGTGCAGATCTGAGAACCAAACAGTTCAAACACAAGAGCTGCAATGATTAAAAAAAAAAAAAACACACATCAAGTCCAAATTAGGCAGATGACCAATGTCAATAAAGTCCATAAATGTTGTTGAATAATATGGCACACGCTATTTTAGTTTGCACAAGCTGTTTAGCCGTCAGATCTCTTAAATATACCCCAGAGTGCATTCAGCATTCAGACCAAACCCACACAAACGCACACGGGCGAGTGAACCAGCGAGAGGCCTCCCAGAAGGACTTGCTCATGTCGAGAGCCTGTGCATGTCTGTAATATTCTGTAATTCTCCTCAGAGTGGTCGTCTGTCTGCCATGCTCATATGATTTTATTTCTTCTGGAGCAATAACCAACAAGGATAACTGTATTGTATCAGGATGTAGCATAGGTAAGAGTTGATAAAAATAAATAATAATAAACGTCTGAAGCAGCCAATTTCATGGCTTTTTTGTTTTAGAAGCGTACTCACTCTGCTTATGTACGTTGTTGGTCTTCATAACCATTTTCTGTATCTATATGTAGTTTATTTTAATGTCTTTGTGTTTATGGAAATATCTTAGACTGGTTCTGAGCAACCCCATATTAGCGCTAGTGCTAGTTTCCATAGCAACACACTGTTTACTTTCAGAAGTTACCATTTAGTTTTCCTGTATTTAATGTGTGTTACCCAGTTTTAGCATGTGTTAAAGGTGTGTTAAAGATAGGCTAAAAAACATATGAATTTCAATAGTAGTGAAAACCTAAATGTGTTTTTGTATTGGAGTTCTAGTAGTTTCAAAACACAAACACACACACACACACACACACACACACACACACAGAGCAGAGATGGGAAAGTGGTGTAGGGTCGGAGAGTGTTTGTTCTTCTGCCTTGTCCGACTTCTGTATGGTGATACTTCATGTACTGTATAGTTTAATTTTGCAATATTATGTTATGTTGAATTCTTGTACTGATTTGTCTTGTCTTGTGTTATACGGGTGAGGGATTTGAATAATATTAGAATCATGTCTATGTCTGTGAAGGTGATTGGAATGAGCTTCAAGTCCCAACTGAAGACTAATTTATTTGGACAGGCGTTCTGCACATAGGCCTCTGAAGTGTGTTCATGATGAGGACCTTCAACTGTGTTTTAAATCTGACTTGTATGTGTATTATTTTTATCTGTACGTTGGAAATGTGAAGCGCTTTGTGATCCTGGTCTGTGAAAGGCACTATACAAATCAACTTTACTTACTTCTGTTAAAGTTGGGAATTTTAGACTTGCTTCCTTAATATGCTAAAGTCAGAGAATGTTTTATATATTTAGTATATATTTAGTACTCTTACAGTATTTTTTTGCTGTGTGGTGCTCATTCCTACTGCTCTGTATCTGGTGATGCAACAATGACAAATAAATGATCTCTTAATCTTAATCTTACTGTTTTGTGCAGCTTTGAAACAAATACTTGAACTAAATAACTAGGCTCACACTAGGAAAAAGTAGAAACTATTTAAATCCATTCCTCACTTTAATCCAAGATCCCATATTCATTCCAAGCTACATATGAAACATTACAGACAGTCAGTCAATCAACAAACATAATATTGTATAAATACCAGCCGCTCCTTCAGCTGCAATGATTGTACTTAAGTGTGTGTCCAGATTCTGAGAGGGGGATTATCATTCAGATTACCCATCTCAGGAGAGCGCACTCGGCCCAGGCTTTTCTGCCATTGCAATGGAGCATTTAGAGTGCTGATGTTAAAGTGATCCATTAATCCAGAGCTGATATTGTGTTTGCTCCCTGTGAGGAGAGAATCATATTTTCACATCCTACACCTCCACGTAGCAAGAGAAGAACTAACAGGATATTTCATTTGTCTCCATTAAATACATAGTAATAATAAATGTAGACATTGTAAATAATAACAATAAAAAATCTAAGATATAAATAAGTGGAACTATTCTACAGATTTGAAATAGTTATATACAAGGGACCTGTTCTGTGTTTTTGTTTTTGGGATAGAGAACCAAATTCACCCTTAAAGTAGAAACATGTAAGATTTTCATGTCAAGTCATCATGAAATAACCCTAATCTGTCAAAAGGCATTTATAAAACAGTAGTTCAGCCGAGATATTTGAATTTTAATATTAGTTTTACAGCTCCTAAAACTTGTTATTATGTTCAATTCGATGTCCTGTCCTCCACTGTTTTAACAATCAGAAAGTCCGTGTTCCGGGTTTCCAGAACTCACGTCGAGCCAATCTCACGTCGAGCTCACATCGAGCCAATCTCACTGGTGAAGTAACCTGTGGTTGCGGTAAAAAAAAAAAAGGATGAAAAGTTCTGGTTGTGATTTCTATATAGGCCTTTGTGAGAAAAATTGTTGGTTATAGATTTGTTGTTGACAAAACTCTTGTAAAGCCGACAGTGGCTCACTTGGTATTTGGCCTTTGAACCCGAAGGTCGTGGGTTCGAGTCCACCATGAGACTTTCTACACCGACTCCCACTGATGTCTGCTGCCGTTGTGTCCTTGGGCAAGACACTTAACCCACTTTGCCTATGAGGAGCGCGGAAGTGATGTTCACTGCTTGCCTTGATGTGTATATGTATGCATCAAACTGAAATTTCCCCATTGAGGGACGAATAAAGGACTTTCTTCTCTTCTTCGTAATATTCAGTTATTATGGTCCCAGATGGATTTGTCTGCATATCTGGCAACCTGAGCCGGAGCGTGTGGGAAAGGTTGCAGTACCACTTTTGGCAAGATTTTTACATTATGGTCCTTTAAATTGAATACTTCTTAAAATTAAATACATCTAAACACTGACAAATATGTGGGTAGGTTTTTTGTATGTCCTCCTTTTTGTATAAGTTTGTCTTTCTTTTGTGGTCTTGGAACACTATTGGCTTGAGAATAAATAATAATAATAATAATAATAATAATAATGCTGTTTGCAGCACCTGTGTGTGTGTGATTTTCTTTTTCTTGCTGATGCTGTTAAAGTTTATTTTTCATTTTTTCTTTCATAAAGTTGTGAACCCAAAAAGAAGAACTCAATTATTTGAGTACATCTCGAGCGTAGTAGAACAAGATTTGCCAGGGGAAGTGGAAGTGGAAGAAAATTCTCCTTTTCGGTAAATTCTTAAACTTGATTCAAGCATTTATTCTTCATATTTATCTTTCAGTATAAAAGTAGAAGCTTCACATAACTTCTTTGGGTGTGTTCTGTCACAGTGCCACAGTCTTACACACAGTTGCAATGTATCTGTTATCTGTGATGCCATGAAGAATATATGTATCAAAATAACCGTATAATTCTGTAAAATTAGTCTTAATGCACAGATATGATTGATCGTCATCCATCCATCCATCCATTTTCTTCCGCTTTATCCGTTGCCGGGTCGCGGGGGCAGCAGTCTAAGCAGAGACGCCCAGACTTCCCTATCCACACACACCTCCTCCAGCTGTTCCCAGGCCAGCTGAGAGACATAGTCTCTCCAGCGTGTCCTGGGTCTTCCCCGGGGCCTCCTCCTTGATCGTCATAACTTGTGAAAATTTGAATATTGTCCATCTACTTCCACACTTCAAGTAACAATGTGAAACTAATATATGATAAAAGTGAGACACATCAAGCCTTTATTTGTTATTATGTTGATGATTTTCTCACAGCTGTAAAAACTATAATCCATAAGCATAAAAAATAAAAATCTTGACATATGTCACTTTGCATGGAGTCTGTATCACATTACGGTTTCACAAGTTGAATTACAAAAATAAATGAACTTGAGTTGTCCCTGTCAGTCTCAATCACTGTCTGAAGTTTCACTTTGTCTCCTCTTCGAAACAAAGAGATGTGTTTTTTTTAATGAGATTCTATGTACAGTATTTATTCTAATCATAATATAAAGGAAGCTCCTGAAATGCCCTCTTTTTTTATGCTGATAATGAAAAATGTTTATGCACCCACTGTGTACAATAAATTAAATATACATGACCTGGCTTATGGCTGGGGCCCGTATAGATTGACAACATAGACACATAAACATCCCAATGTCCTTTTGAACACCTGCTTCGTGCTTGCACATCACTAACTTCAGTCCGATCGTTTCAGATGCTCATCCACAGAGATAACGTGTGTGTTGTGTGCAGCTGCAGCCTCGGGAGCATGGGAAAGGCAGGCAGCAAAGTCCTCGTTGAGCCTTCACTGGATGGCGGTCAAGGGCAGGTTGTTTTTGATAATATTTGCACATTTACAGTATATACTGGTGAAACTTGGAAAATTACAATTTTGTTCATAAGTGAATCTATTTTTTTATAATTGAAAATACAATGAGAAATCTCTCATTACTTGCAAGGAGACTCATGCCAATTATATATTGATTTGCAAGTAATCTGACACTACATGAATTACATTTTACAATTTTGTATTGTTACTGTACAGAAATGTGGTTAGGATTTGACGTTTAGACTCCAGAAGAGCACAGTGTGATTAACTGATGATGCTGTTGCCGTGAGCAACAGTGGGAGGTCTGTACGCTTAGTTCTTCCAGTCTGAATCTCCCCTGCCCTAAAACTCAATAAAGCCCAATATGGAGGTTCTAGTGGACAATGTTTTGTACAGTTAGCTGTGCATATAACTGAGGGACTTTGTTTGTACTCTTTTTAAATTACTGAGAACATTTACGATTACAATGCCTTGGTAGTGTTTCTATCTTGTTTTGTTAAGCACTTTAGTTGCCTTGTGTATGAACTGGGCTATATAAATAAACTTGCCCTGTCCTTGCCTTGCCTATAGCTCATTAACATTTTGTGTCACCAGAGCTAAACACTCTGTATGATCCTGGTGCTTTTAATTTAATATTGTCTTTGTAAAACCAGAAGTATTGACCAATCAGATGCCTTCATTCACAGGGCTTAACCAACCATCTTAGCAACACATTATTTTGTATCTGCTCTTGCTATGTATGTCCATTCGGCTTCAATAGATGTCGTCAGCCCTCGGTACATTTCACTTTGCACCTAACGAGTTTATAATATATAAGTTTTCCTTTGTAAGCTGAACAATTGATGGAAATACTTTTGAACATTCTGATTTTCCAAGTTTCACCTGTGCATTCCTTATTCATGTCCATAATTATTCTGTATGTTATGTTATCTGTTGAACCTGCGAAACCAGCAAATAAATGAGTTGCATTCCCACGTTACGCAATGAGGATGATAGCGCCAGCTTTCACACTTCAGCTTCTTCACATCATATCTGTAATCATCACCACGCTTTCAATGTCATGTGATTAATCTGACCATTAATATCCGGCCATAATCGCTAAATGTTCTGAGCGAGGGATAGAACATCGATTTCTATCTACTCCAATAAACTAATGTGATGGAATGTGGCATGTATGTTTTTGCGTATTCTCACTATACATTGTGGTTACAGTGGTTAACCCTCAGACACCAGTTCCAGTGTGGCAAATTAGTGCAAAATCAAGCTATGATGATATGACATCATATCAGTGAACTCTCGGTGACATAAGCAGATGGGATCAAGGAGGCTTAGCCGAATGAGACGCCACCATTCCTGACCCCAAGATTGACTGCAACATTTGAGGAACAAAACTATTCAATATATGGTGAAAATTATGCAAAAAAGTGCCATTTTACTGTTTTACAGGTTTTTTTTAGGATAACACTGAGAATATACAGTAAGTGTAGTCTTGTAAGAACTGATTTGTGCATTTGTGTACACATTTGTAGACTGATTGTGTATACTGCCAAATAATAATAATGATAATACATCTTTATTTGTATAGCACTCAAAAACAGTGTTTACAGAGCACTGCATGGTCAAGTAGTAAAAACAGTCAAAAACAGTCATAATAATAAAATAAATGCAGGAGAATAAAGCAGACAGACAACAAGAAAAACAAAACAAAGACAATGTGGAAAAGTGAAATCAAGGTTCTTTAATTTGCTTATACCTGAAACCAAACCACAAGGCAGCATTTTGTGTTGAATTGTGTAATAATTGACATCCATTTTCATGTTTTTTCCCGGTTGTGTGTCCTGGTTCACTCTACTCTGCTCCTTGGTTTGGTGACCCAGACCTTCCTCTCGCTTCATCTCGCTGCATCTGCTGTAGTAGGGTGCCATCTTTGTCAGCTTGCGAGACTTAGCCTGGCTCTGAACAGGGCCGCTCTGAACTGAAGCAAATTCATTCACAGGGATTAGGTTTAAGAGTTGCCTAGCTGCTTTGGTGGGGTAAATCTGGGGATTATGATGTCACCAGCCTGTCGTTGCAGAGGAGTAAATTGAATTGTGGGTAGTGACCACTGATGGTCCGGGATTACAGTATAGTCAGGAATCAGAGATGGAAGTCTGTGCCAACATCTTTCTTGGCTCTGGACAATGTTTATCGGACACAGGGGACCATTTGGGAAGGGAATCTACTTTCTCAAGGCAGTTATGGTGGTATAAATACTTAGAGACCACCCTTTAATTCCAGTTGTGACGCAAAGGGACTTGGATGCATCAGGTGGTAAGTACATTACATACTGAAGTGTAGACAAGACTTCTATAATACTGTACTTACCACTTTCTGTATGTCATTTATGTGCGCCTTTGACCCTGTGACCTGTTCTTCTGGGTGACCTTGTTTGTTTCTGTCTTAGCCACCTCCTGCGGCTACGCCTGCTGCCGCGGTCAAGTTTGAAGGGCTCACTAAGAAAAAGAAAATGAAGGTGAAATGGAGTCAAGTGCTGTTGGTCTTCTTCTTGGTGGTGTCTGTGGTCATGACCTGTTGCTTCTTTTGGCAATACCAGCTGCCCAAACTACTGCCAGGTAACTGCTACTGAAATAACTGAAAATATATATGTTACTATGATGAAACACCTGACAATGCAAAGCAGGAGTCTCAGAGCTTTTTTCTATCTTTTTCTATCAGACAGCAACTTTTATAAAACAGAAATAAAAGTGAGCTACTCTCTTTTGTGGCGTAAAGTGAGAAGACGAGTTTCCCCTCACTTCCGTTCAAAATCAGATGAATAATGCTCTGTTTTAATGGCGAGTTCTCGTTTTCCCGCTTGGGCACATATGAACAATGTGTAACTTTCTCCACGCTGAAAATAATGAGAATGTGGCCTAATTTTTAACAGGGGCATTTGAGAATCTCTGACCCAACTCTGGGAATTAACCATAGAATATTCAAAACACACTCAACAAAACAATTACCAAAACACCTTTCATCAACAGCGTTTGGGTTTGAATGTTGTGTTTTCTTATCGTTGTGAGGCAGGACATGGCGTCGTAGTGTATTTATTAGCCTAGCTCTGCAGGTTTGCTTGAAGATAAACTGTCATTCCCAACAGCCTTTGGCCTCAGTATGTAGTGTATGCTCGTGTCCAGGGGAAAAGTCTTAGTCCTGGCTTCTCTGCTCATTTCATCTAGAATCCACTCCTGCTCTTCTTGTCTCTCATTAAAGCTCCCACAGGCATGCGTCATTCTCTTTACGCCACGTTTGTAATTCTTCATGGCGAGCCTATGTGCAGCGCAAGGGGCCTTTCTGTTTACATTTCAGTGCTATCGTGTTGCGTGACCAATATGTAAGGAGAGAATCCGGTTGTTTTTCAGAATAAAGGATCATTTAGACTCCGAAAATAAAAACGCAAATGATTTTTTCTTTCCTTGGCAGCCCGGTTTGAATGTCCCACGGTCCGGGCGGCTGCAGACCATTGTGCTAAATGATACTGGCTCACTATTATCAATTAAAACTAAAAATCGCTCTGATAATGAACAGATAATCTCCATCCTTGTCTAATTTGATTTCCATGATTACACAGGGGGCAGTTTTCATATCTTACATTGGCATCGCATTGGCTATATCAGCATTGAGAATCACACATGGGATTTAAGCTTCATAACAGTTTCTTCATGAATTATAATATGCATTTATGTTTCTATTTTCATGTTTTTGTTCATTCTGAATTTGATTAATCAGCCCTTCCACTTTTCACATAAATGATAAATAGTCTCAATGCTGTGAACAAATCAGAGCACAGCATGCTTTCTTCATGTCATCAGAAAACACATCTTCCACATAATAACAAGAAAGAGTCCTGTGAGTCTCTATGTATGGGAGAAAACAAGGCTCACCCATTTGTGTTTGTGATTAAAGACAGATTATATTATTTAAATTGACATTTTATGAGTCTATTATGAGTATTATGAGGATAAAGACAAAGTTGGAAAATGTTTTAGTAATACAACTTTATTCTTGAAATTTCATGACTTGCTGGGAAAGAAACTAGCCAAATGGATTGTAATACCAAGTTCGGTACACCAGCTTTAATTTATACACATCAATCGGGGCCAAAACATGTTATCCCAGCGATGTTCCGATTGCACATTGGTTTTTGTCATATGAAAAGGAAAGTCAGGTCAAACCATTATACGCCTCCATTATACTCCAGAAACCTCATTTCCCATACATGCATATTCCTTACCATGACAATGTGCTAAAATCCCTGCTCATTTGAGATTCTCAGTGGGCCCACAGCACCACTGTTTCAATCACTGGCCATAAAATATGAATGGAACCATATCACCCACAGCATTGCCTTCATATTTTAAATCCACCATATAACAAGGTTTATGAGATGCTATTAAGTTTGTCTCCATTGTTTCTTTCTTATATCAGATGAAAGCATGGGTCGCAATACTAAAGCAGAAATGATATGTCCACGTTTCCCTGAGCCTGTGCCACTGGAGCACCCCATCGCCAGCTTGAAGGACGCTCTTGAGAAGGTGAGGAAAACAACACAAAAGTAATTGACAAAGACTTCCCGTAAGTTAAAGACGCGGACGGCAGCGGAGGGTAAAATAAATGCACATATGCACCGTATTAAACAGCCAAACCATATTCTTTGGAACTCAACTGGGCTTTCCAAACATATTTTTTTAATTCTAGTTTAGTTTATTCTGGATCTGTCCGTAAACAACTGTATGCGGGGCTGCATAAAGTGGCGAGCTAGCCAGGAGGTGGAAGCTACTCAAAGCACAAAACTAGGAAAAGTTGGAGATCGAAGTAGATGAGATTATTTTCTTTTTTTAAATTCCCTATAAGGACAAAAGTGGTACTACAACATGAAAGTCTGTACACTTATATCAACAAGAAAATACTATAAATCAACTGAAAAGCAGATCAAATGTAAAACTTTGCAAAATGTTTTAGATTAGTTCGACAATACACATGTCCGTAAATCAAATAATTAGTTTTTGCTATTATGTTTATATTATGTATACTCTCTTCAGCTCTTGTTTGGGTCGTGGATTGTCTTTGTATGTTGATGTTGATAACCAATGATCTTTTTGACCTGGAGCGACTGAGCTCAGTAGTTTAAACTATCTGATATGTTTTTGGTTTTGATGTCAGGGGAGTGTAGGATGTTTCCTCCTTGGATTAAGTTTGTGTTGCATATTTCCCCACCGTGCTTACCATGTCTGGGTGAATGTATAAGCTATCTGTAATCCTTCACACCGAATGCTGTTTGACTGGACAGAAGGAGATTAAATTTATGTTGGAGGATGAAAACTATTAGAAAAGGTTAGTGGACTGTATAAAAAAAAGATTCCTGAGAACTCCTTGGACAGAACAAGACTTCAAGCATAATATATGCATTTATTTTCAAGCATCTGTCGGATTACAGCTGTCTTTTTTTTTTAAACTGATCTAATTTTGCAAGCACATTTGTTGAGGACTTCCTTGATGGCTTTCTTGCTGAAGTCCAACAATGTTATAATCACACAGATTGAAAGTAAATGATAGTGCACCTCTTGAGAGTTAGAGTTTGATTGATGAGAAGCCTTTGTGTTTCCCAGCTGTGGTTCTGTGAAAAATGAACATTCTTTCACAGCAGAGGAAACTTTTAAAAGAAGGTGAGAGATAGGTCTAGACACAAAAGGCTATTTGTCTTGGCATTTCCTGTAAAGACAAATTATGCAAAATCATCTTGTTTGTGCTTTCAAGCACATATAAATATAATCACAAGCACATTGTGGAAGTATAGTTGTATCTCTTGTTAGCGGTTCACTTTGTAAGTGAGTTTGATTGAATAGAGGCCATTTGGTTTATCCAAGATGTGGTTTTGGTGAAATACAGTTGTGCTTCAATGTTTTGCCCAATTTCCTGAAATTTCCTGAAGGACAATTCACCTTTTCATTAATGGTTGCGTGAAGACATTTAGTGTCAAATATGCATGGATTTATTTATGTTTTATTATAATAACAAAAGAAACTACTCTTCGGACCCTGATCAGAAGTCTCCATCCCCCAGTTCTCAATAGCATGTACTGCCCCTTATTATCTGTGACAGTTTGGAGTCTTATGTGAGTGTTGTGGATGAGATTTTGAGATGAGATAGTGGAGATACGGTTTTGTATTTTCAAAGTATTTTTGTACAGGTATTGTTTTTTGTAACGTTGACTTGTGTCTCTCCAATAAACTCCTGCCATTTTGTGGTCTAGATGTCAAAGAGAGATAGACAGATAGATAGTAAGTAAGTAAGGTTTAATCATATAGCGCATTTTATAGACCAAGGTCACCCAAAGCGCTGTACAATTGTTCAGAGTTCAGATATTGTTCCATTCTCTCCACACACGGTGATTACAAAAGCGAGTCGCCGAACACATCAGCACATCAGAGCCCCAACCATCACCATTTATGCATGTTTTTAGTGGTAGGGAGGAAGCCTACACAGACACGGGGAGAACATGAAAACTCCACTCAGAAAGGCCCTGTTCTGATAGGGATTCGAACCCAGGACCTTCTTGTTGAGAAGTGAGAAGTTTGATCCACTCAGCCACCGTGCCGCCCAGATAGATAGACAGATGTTTTGCACAGTTCAGCAGCTCCATAAAATGTAAACACGTACACACACAGGACATTTAACAAAGACACTCAGCAATGACACGTTTCAAAGTTTAGTTTTGAAACTGAACTGAATAAGGTCTGTTCAGTTCAGTTTTGTTTATTTCAAAGGGCACAATGCAATTTAAAACACATGGTGAAACATGGTAAAAAAAAAGGCAAAATTAGCCAATCATCCGTAGTCCCCTGGCTGTGATGTTAAAAAGTCATTTAAATAAAGCAGGACACACCCGCCCTGATGGTAACAGCACATATTTGAGTTCAGAACATGGTTGGGGTTAGCCTTGTACGCCATAGTACAAATTACATTTTGTACTAAGGTCTGGACGTGCTCCATTGAGCTCAGTTAACAGGTGGGAGGGGTTAACTCCTGTTACAGATTGAAACGATTGGATCTGAGTTTACCGTGAGGTATGTAATGCGCCTGAGAGAGTTGTTAGCATTCAGCATTTAGCCTAGCCATCTCCTTTGCCGCTAACGGAGCCCGTGGAGAGTAGCGCCACAATCTTCTTGCTCCGGCTTCAATTTCTGATAGAACCAGACCGGAATACTTTACTGTTGCTTTCTTCGCCATTGCAAAATCACAACCTGCTCGTTCGGCGCAAACTCTTGACGTCACCCACAACTAACTGCAACACCCGCCTCCCGCTCGCTGATTGGTCGGATGGAATTCAACTGATTATAATCGCAAACACAGGGACCAGACACAGATGTTATATGCAGTGAGATTATGATTGACTGGATTGTACGGATGGCTAAGGCCAGGCTAGGTTGGGGTCAGAGATGATGTCAGCCGCAGATTATTGTTATGATGCTCGGTTTCATAGAGTCTGTCCTGAGAGTCTGTCTCAGTCCAGATTTAGCTGTGACAGAGAAGGAGCTGTACCCCACGACATTACAGTACTGCACGATTATTACATGTTTTGACTTTCCTTCATTGGGGTTGTAAATGTAAAAAATATTCAACACCGAAAATAACAACATTTGCCTTGAAATGATGTGTTGTTTTGGGTCTAAGGTGGATGCGCTTCTACGTCAGAGCACCAACGCGGTCAGCCTTCCATCTCTGTCCGCTATTGTAGTTCTGAACGACACGGTGCTGTGGACTGGGAACTTTGGGAAGAAGAACATCAGTGACCCTCTGGCTGGCCCTCCAAATGAATACACTGTGTATAGGTAACCACTTTGCTTTTTAGATTTTCAGATGTATTTTCTATTGCATGAGCGGAAACCATTCATGGATGTGTATGCTCATGCGCAAAATGCAACCCTGTCTCTTTTATGTACAGGGCATAGAAACACAACAGCCAGCAATACAGAAAAAAGATCAAAGATAAAAGGCTTGTCTGTGCTTTTCTTTCATGTTATTGATTTTTTTGTCTTCTAGATGCCAAAATAAACACTTGAATTGAAAGGGCTAGATGGTGGGAGGCCACGTTGTTTATAATAGTGGTTTGAAACGTTTTGTTTTGTTTATTTTATTTTAAGTTTAAGGTTCTACTGAATGACAAATGGTATTATATTTCGGCTGCCGAGCTGTGAGTCCTCTTCAGTACGGCATGTGCAGCCTTGGTGACGTGTAATTCAAAAGCTGAGGTGACTTTCTGAGAAGGTGTGGTCAGCCCGATGGACCTGGCCTGTCACTCAGACTGGTCTCGTCGATAGCCTCTGGAGGAGAGTGTTCGATGTTTCAGTCTTACTAATCTTGGTTAATGGCGTCGATTCTCTGTATTCTGATCCAATGACCCTCTACTTGTTCCAACCATAATGTGGTTAGTTCCCTTACTTACAGTGATGTATTTTGGCTGATTCAAGGTTCTCCTGTTCTGCTGTTCTTTAATGATTACACTGAGACTAGTACCATGAATTTATTACTACAAAGAGCAAAATTATTGTTGCCTTAAAGGAAATGTTGTCTTAAAGTGGAAAAGTGGGTGCATTTTGCTGATGACTACATGGTGGCGTATCTCTACACACTTTTTTTCTGCTCTGTCCTCCTAATGCTTGCGAAGATTAGGTGATCAATGAAATCTTAAATGAATATTATTTCAGGATTGCCAGTCTGTCAAAGATCTTCCCCACTCTGATGATGTACAAATTGTGGGAAGATGGGAAAATAGCGTCTTTAGATGATCCTCTGGAGAAGTACGTGGATAACTTCACCATCAAGAATCCTATGGGAAGGTCTCGGGACTCCGAGCTCAAACACGTCACCGACGGACTCATATTTCTGGACAGCGGGGAAGTGCAGATACGCTCTTCATCCGTCACCCTGAGGAGGATGGCCAGTCAGCTCTCAGGTCAGTCAAGCTATTCTTTCCAAAAATAACACTTAGGGTGTATTCAGACCTGCACATTTGCTCCACTTTAAACGGACCAGGATTTGTTTGGAACTCTGATACGAAGCTTTTATGCAGGTCTGAATACACACAAACGAATCCTGGTCCGGACCAAAGAACCGGACCGAGACCCACTTTTTTAGGTGGTCTCGGGCCGCTTCCAAATGAATTCTGGTCCAAGTCGAATCAGGTCTGAATACATCCGGTGTCGATCCGACACAACTCCAAGATACGTGCGCATTTTTTGGGCTTAACAAGCCGCAGACAGAAACTGTGAGGAATTAGCCACGCAGCGGCTAACATATGCTGCTAACTATGCTGCTAACTATGCTGCTAACGCTACGCCTATGTTTGCAAAGAGCAAACATAGGCAGAGCAGTCATGCTGCACATACGAGCCCTCTATGTTTTCTGCCGGTTCCGCGTCTATCCTAATTTATGTACACCATACTGACAAAAGTGCTGCAAAGTGGATGGAGCTTCCCCCATATAAACATTTTGAATATATATCACAAAATTGAAACAGAGCAGGGGCTAACTAGCTATCTGGTAACTAGTTTCTACAACATTTTTGTTTTAGTTCCATTTTGTTCTATCTTCAATTTTCTTCCCCTCAAAGGTCTTATATATCTTTTCTTCATTGTTCACAGTCCATCCTAAGCACATGTGTGATAATAATTTAGATGATACACCATTCAACCTGTGTTGAGGAAGTTATGTTTAAAAAGTAACTTTTCTTGTGACTTCTTTTAAAAAAGTAACCTGTTACTTTACTTAGTTACTCTCTAAAGAAAGTAACTCTTTTACTTTTACTTTTGCTTTTATTTTGTGTTACTGTTATTATGCTCGACTGTGAGCAGAATCACCTCAATCACCTCCTGGAGGCGGGGCTTTCTGGAGCTCGAGCTACATGTGAAAGTGTGTGTCTGTGTCTCTCAAGAATGAAAGAGAAAGATCGCTCTCTGACTAACGCTTGAGGGAATCAATGAAAAAACTACCAATAACCAAATGGCGCTGTAATCATGTTTCAACCAGAGAAGTCAAAAAGCATTACATGAGACCTTAAATCAGTCAGAGCTGCACCCGGGTCACAGAGCACCAGTCCCTCACTGATCCTCCTGCAGGTGGTAAGTCCACAGGAGTCCATGACAGCGTAGCTGCGGGAGCATCAGGCTAAGTGAGGTTGAGTGTCTTGCCCAATGACATAACTACAGCAGACATCAGTGGGAGTAGGTGGAGAAGGTCTTGCCTTCGAGCCAAATGCTCAAAGGCCAATGCTCTGAGCCACTATCGCTCAGATCCAGTATTCATGTTTTTTAATCTGCAGGAGGGTATTGTTTTTCTCCTGCTTTTGTCGATTTCAGAATCAGACTGTTCCCTGCTTCGGGGTTTGCTGAAGATAGAAAGTTGGATAATGTGTTTTTAAATCCCATCTTTTTGTTATAATCCAGGTTTGCCCAGAAGACTTCGAGCCACCAGTTTGCTTTGGAAAGGAAGAACACAAACTGCTATTAACCTCCTACAAGACGACGTTCTGGTGGCAGATCCTGGCACAAAGTAAGAGGATTTTTATAGAGGTCAATTATCTTTTCATGAAATCCCAGAATAAATAAATGCAAATGAAATGATAAAATGTTCATAGAAGACATATAAAACATAATGAGCTGGTTGATATGCATAACTCGTCTGTTGTTGCCTGGTTTTTCAATTTTGTGACAGATGATTAGCAAACATTTATCTGGCATAATTATATTTGTTGTACAAGTCATAATGATTGTCTATCTACTCGCTCGTGTGTTTGAAATTACGCAGTTCAGACAGCTTCAAGGGTGCTCCTTGCCTACACCATTCTTATGTTTTTGAAGTGCAATGTTGCAATGCATCCACATCCAACATAATTATGCACTGGAGATTAGATTAGATCTAAAGCTGGGGTCATGACTTTCAAACCATAAAAACAATGTAATAAAATATATCTAACAAGTTCTCTTCAGTCTATGAGTTTTCACTTGCATGTGTATAAGTAGATGAAAACATAGAAACAATTGACAATCCTTATATACTTACTCAGTCAATCAGCCCTTTTTACGAGTGTATTGCATGTTATCTATTAAGATAAAGGCAGTCTATTGTGACTTATTCAAGGAATTTTGCTTTTGGATTCCCAGAGATCTGAAACTACTAGAACTCCTAGAGCCGTCTTTTTGACTGCTCCCATTCAATCCAAAGGAAATCACACAACAAAAAATTGTTTTTCACTAGATTTAATCAAGTAATATATAATGGGGTTTACTGTCACTGCTGACAGTAAACAGTGTATTGCTATGGTAACCAGCACTGGCCCTTCTCTGGTGGAAAACCAAACTGAACCAAAACCAGTCCAGGATCTAGAAAACAGGGCTCCAACTGCCAATGAAAGAAGAAACCAAACATGGCTACATATGAATTTTAGTTAACGGTAGAACTACAGTACACACACATAAAAAAAAAAAGGATTAAGTTAAAAATAATGACAGAATTAAACTACACATAGAAACTGAAAATGGCCAGAAATGTTCATACGCTGAGTAAGTACACATCCAAAGCCGTCAATTTGACTGCTTTGAGAGTTCCAGTTTTACAAGACTTATGTTGGGACAAACAAAATATATGTGTATGGTAGCAAAGCTTCCCCGGCTTTAACTTTTAATGTCCATCAATTTACAAAAATATGAAAATTGCAAGTCTATATTCAACTAGCCAAAAGTTACAGGATTTCAAAAATGCTCATTCTGTGTTTTTTTTTTTTCAGATGCCATTACAGTAACTTGGCCTTTTCACTGCTCGCTCACATCATGGCAGAAAGAATAGTCGGTGTGGAATACCAGCGCTGGGTCCTCGACAACATTTTAGATCGCTTGGGGATGGAGGACACAGGATTTGACGTCACTCCCGGAGTCTTCAATCAAATGGCAGTCGGGGTTTACGCCAACGGAAAACCAGCGCCCCTCTATGACCTGGGTTGGTATCGCCCCTCTGGACAAATGTACTCGACAGCCGCAGACCTGGCCAAACTCGCCATGATGCTTCTGGGAGCTTATCACCGCAAACTACTGGAGCCGGATTCGCTGAAGATCATGCTAACGCCGCTTTTTAGGTGCGAGAAGGATTACTTTGCCAACCGCACTGGAACACCATGGGAGGTGAATGAGCTCTTGGGTTACGAGGTTTTGCGCAAAGATGGCGATTTGGATGGATACTCTGCAACTTTTTCGTTAGTTCCGAGACTGAAGCTTGGGTTGATATTGTTAATGGCGGGAAGTAGGCCGCAAAAGCACGACATAGTGGTCAAAGCGTACAATCAAATCATTCCTGCCATCGAAAAAGCTTTTAAGGAAGCCACAAAGGTTCTCAACGCGCCACCCAAGCCTGACCCATATGTTGGCTTTTTTACTTACAGCAACATTACATTTTATGAGATAAAAGCTGGTTCTGATGGGATTTTGATCATGCAACAATTTGGTCCACATATCGAAGAGTTGATCCCAGAGAAATACAGGACAATAAAACTGAACTACTTAGTCGACAGGGTTTTCAGAGTTGTATTTGAGACGGAATATCCTTGCGTCCTTCGAGTCGGAAGTGCCTCTGTGTCCCTCGAGGCGCAGGATGGGCAGCTCTTCAACTTCTACAATTTCAACAAACGAGGTATTTCGCCTGGATTTGACGCTCCGGGGCTTAACACTTACAACGTGGTGCGAATAGCTCGGAGACCTTCTTTTTCAAGCTGAACAATGGCAGGATTAAGACTAATGATGTGTACTTGGTCAACCCACAAAGGTAAAGAAGCGTGGACTGTGTGTGGGTTGTTTTGACCTCGCCAATAAAATGGATGAGAAGAAGAAGAAGAAGAAGAAGAAGAATTTGGAGAGAACTTTTTGACTTTTACTAATGTTTCTGCTGGATGGTAAAGTCATTCATTATTGAGGTTGCAAGCGCCTATCTTTTATAAATGGCTAACCCCTGCTGGACTTCTGAAATGTCTGTGCTTGTGTGGTGTACTGTGACTTGGGCCAATTTGTGTCAGGAAAAAAGTGTATATAAAGTTTTTTCGTTTTTTTCTTTTGTGTGTGTGTGTTCTATGAGACAAAACACGTGAACCATGTGATTTGTGTTTATGTGCTACAAAAGAACAAAACTGCCACAAATTCAAATGACACCAACTCTAACTGTAAATAATAAATATGATCTTTTACAGAATTGATTGTGATTGTGTGCAGGTTGAACCTTTTAAAACATACTCATTGTATGCATCGCCATAATCTACTTAACACAATTCAAAAATCTTCAAAAACAAGAGATAATGGGAAATGGTTTTGGCTCCTAGCCATAAAAAGCATTGTATGGTTTTATTAACAAACGTTCAGTCTAAATATACAGGTGAAAATGTCAAAAAACCTTTGTAATTCAACATGCAACATACGATTATCAAGCCTTTATCTGTTATAATGATCATGTTGTTTAAAAACCACTAACAAATTATTGGCCTATGTCACTATGTTTCATATTTTAACACAGTGGGTCCTCGCTTTTGTGTCCTTGCCGTTTCGCGGATTATTGGGTGTTCAATTCTTTATAACATGACGGTTACCTGTATTCAAAGTCGGAAGAAAACTGTTGTGGCTTTTATGCACCACAGTTAATAGTTCAGAGGATGTCCGCGGCTGCAGCAGCGCTCAGACCGAATATCAAGAGATTGTTTATTGGTGCCACAGTGGGGAAAATGTGTTGCATCACCATTTACAGAATGGTAGGAATGACGAGCACACAGCACAAGATACGTGATCAATAACTCTATACTAAATTAAAATAAAATCTCCAAGTTTAGTGTAAGACAAAGGATGTATAAAATAACATAGTATAAAAACAGGTTTGATATCTCCGCAATTGCACTTCAGCAGTCGTGAGTTCAGTTGGTTATAAAAGTGCGTGAAGTCTGCAGTGAGGGGTTTTACAGGCTCAAAATATACAGCTGCTACTTCTATTTTTGCGGGTTAGTTTTTAGAACGTAATCCTTGCAATAAACAAGTTACCACTGCACTGTATTATAATGTTCCAAGTTTCACCTTTATGTCTATTCCTTTCTCCAGGATGTCTCTGTTTTTTCATGAATACACTGTTCGAAGTTGTAATGCATAAAAAACATGACAAAAGAGAATCCAATTGCCAAACACAGGCCAAAGTTGTACAATAACTTTATTCATAAAGAGTCCACATGAAAATATTCTTTGACGGTCATTTGTCTACATGGCTATCAATGTCAGCCCAACCTTTTATCTTTCTTAAAATTACTGCCAGAAGTAGAAACTGATGATATGAAGTCAGGGTCCAGGGAGCAGGATTGAAGGCTCTTATTTGGCATGCTGTTTGAAATAAATTCCATCTCTCCTTCGCTGAGTTTTATTGTATTTCAAAGTTTCATTCAGCCAACACGTGATTAAATCAGTCCACATTGACTTTGTAACAATCCCCAACAATTGTATAGTTCTCTGTTTTTGTTCTGCCCGCAGTGAGTCGAGTTATGAAAATAGTTATCAGCGACAATGTGCAATCACACAGCAATCATCGCACATCTCAAATACAAACGTAGTTGCAGCATAAAGCACAACATGTACTACATTACCCATAATTATCGTTGCAATAACAGCTTGCACAAATGATTAATCTAATCACACAATGCACTTCAGCAAATTGTTTACATTTCAAGAAGGTCACACAGTTTTTCTTGTCTGCTTTTTATTTCTCAATGCACTGTTGATTTAAGTGAGTGGGTATAGCCAACTCAGGAGATTGACAGCAGAAAGAAAATAGGATAGAATCAATTACATGTAGACATTCAGTGTTGAGGTTGTCACCGCAACATAGACAATAAAAAACAGGACACTGACTATTGAACGCAGACTGACAATCTGGTGACTGCTCCTGACAAAGAAAAACAAAATGTATGACTCACAGAAAAAAGAATCCATCCCAGTCTCATAAAGTACTTTATCCTCGTCCTGAACAGTTTATGTCATATCAACTCTATCAGATGACATATGTCATTCAGGAGAGCCATATTTTATTTTAAGCCATCACATTTGTAAAAATGATATTCTTTTTTTCTGGGAATGAAAAAAGCAATACTCCTGTGGTGTCAGGAGAATCCACGCTTCACTGGAAAAACGCACCTTGTGGTTCCGCATCATTGATCACTCCAGAATGACATGTAACAATGACAAAGCAGAGGACTGTTCGAGCGTCGCAGACTAGTGATCAACATTTGTCCAAATACTTCAAATGAATTCATTTAACGGCAGAGAATTGAAATAATCTATAGGCCATTAGCCGCAGAACTGGGAAGGAGAACCTAAAATGATTTTGAGTTTGAAAAAGGTAGAAGAGTTTAACGTGTCCTGAAAATAAATAGGTCATAAAGGGATATTTTCAGCATAAATCCTGAGAGCCAGAACAAATTGGTCTTGCAGCAAAAACCACAAAAAAATCTTGTTATTTCTTCTCAATTTTGATCAAAGCCAGAAGTAATTTTTTCTTTATTTGTCCATCTGGCCAGAAGGGAAACGTTGTTCTTGTTGAGAGATTTGATTCAGAAGGCAGACGTCACGAGCGCTGACTCTTTGCATGTGCATGTGATCATGGCGGCGTCTATAAGCGACAGGTTGTGGGACAAAAGGGGGTACGCGTTACAATCTTTTCCGTGCTCCTCTCTGGACACGGTCAGAGTGGGATGGAGGAGGATTTTGGGAAAGGGCGGTGAGCCTCGGACTGAGCTGCTTTCTTCCACGTGTGAACAGACCAGCTCTCTGAAACTCTCCCTGAAGCGCGTGGACAACAGGCTGTAGATGATGGGGTTGACGGCTGAGCTGAGGTAGAAGAGCACCCCTGACAGAATGTGCACATACTGATAAATGTTGTGCATCAGGTCGGTCCAGTGGCTGACGGAACTCCACAAGAGGCGCTCGATGTGGAACGGCGCCCAGCACACTCCGAAGACTGCCACCACGATTGCTGCATCAGGACACAAAAATCAATCAATCAATCAGGAAAACAATATTGATATCAACAAAAATAAATCACTCCATACACAGTTGTGAGAAAATACTTCTGTAGCCGCATCTGCCCTGGAGCACACTGAGGCAACCAGTATGTGCCATCAGCCCCTCCCACCCCCACCAACCATTCACATTCACCTTCACCAGACTCATTCTTGGCACTTTACAGCAGCGCCTCCTGGTGTTCCCAGAGGTCTCCCATCACAGTGCTAACCAGCTCCTGCCCTGCTTCAGCTTCAGAGGTCTGACGGGATCTGGCTTTCACGTACAGGTATGGTCACTAGATGTTTGAGGAAAACTGGGAAAATAGTGGCAAAGCTCTGAGGAACTGTGATTTTAAAAAAAGTCCTTAACTATTGTAGGGACATAACAATTGCGTATCCAGATTTTTGTGATTGGCAAGGCTAGGCAAGGTTTGTATAGCACAGTTCAAACACAAGGCAACTTAAAGAGATTTGCTGCATAAATCTTCAAATCCTTCCCCCCGATGTTCTGACTCTGGGCACCAGCAGGAGTCCAGTCTCTGTGCTCCTCAGAGTCTGAAATCTGTAATCTAAAATCCGTATAACAGAATATTACAGATACAAAACAACAGAATTACAGACGGTTGGATGAAACAAACAGAACTTTGAGGATAGGGCTGTGGAGTTTGGCTGTGTGTAAATCCTTTCGGCAGATGGACTCAAGGGATTCAAACCGTTTCAAATAAGGACAGTGAAAGCAGCACAGATGTATTTAGAGTTGTGCTTGACAGTATACACACCCAGGCATAAATTACTCTTTGTTGGATTCCAGAAATTGTGTTTTTACCTCTCAATCTTCCTTAATACATAATTGATCCAATTGTGTATTTAACTATAATTCATCTTGCACTAACTACTGAACAACGTTGTCCGTGTATACATTAAAACGTCAATCTGAGTTTAGTAGTGGGCAGTATATAGGACTTATTTGATCTGATAGGATTCATCATATCTGCTGATCGGATATAATCTAAGCAATGCTTACACCGCAAAATATGAAGAAAAAAAAACAAGTTCAAAACGGGTCTTATGTATCTTAATTTGAACACATTTTGACTGCCTTAGAAAAAGATTTACCGATAGGACAAACAGAATTTTTGTTTTAAAAAGATACAAGAAATGATACAAGATTTGTTCTATTGGAAAATCTTGCTTTAAGTCAGAATGTACTCAAAAAATTAAGATTAGAATTTCTCGATTAAAGCAATTATTACCTGATATTTTATCATTTTTGCAATGTCACAAAATGTCTTCAATATTCAATATGTACCAGTAACTATAGTAAAAGATTCAAGATCAAGATTATGAAACCATTTTCTATTTTCCAATTGTAATGACAACAGACTCTCATTGGACCCTGCTTAAACGTTTCCTTACCCAAGTCCTCAATAACTACGTTTTTTATCCTTTCTGACGGTAAAGCTGCCCATTCTTCTTTTCAAAAATTCTCCAGCTTTGACAATACAACTACGAACAATAGAGGGGAAAATATCCACAACATGTCCATAACAATCCTATCTCTGACTGGCAGAGTAAACATTCAATAACAACTGTATGCCTGTATTCCTGCTGGATGGTAAAGGGTGAATTTTATTTCTCTACCGCTATTATTTCTTTGACCTTTTTTCAATTTGCATAAGTGCTGCCGGATTTGACATTTCTCTTTTGAATCAGTCTTTAATCTTACAGTGATACAGAGACTGACATTTATTTCTCGACAATTTGCGGCTCTCCTCTTTTATGTCTATCCTCCAGACCATTTTCTTCCCCTTAATACAGCTCTCCTGCCAAATTCCGTGTCTTGCCCAAGGACATAACAACAGCACACAACAGTCGGAGTCGGTGGAGAGGGTATCATGGTAGTCTGAAATCCACAACCTTCAGGCTCAAAGACCAATGCCACCCCAAGCTATTGTGTTGTAAAAAAAAATTAATTCCATTCATCAATTTATTTTATTGTAATGTTTAGTTTTTCAGCATGCTGATTTTACTCAGATTATGGAACAAATAGGGGGTCTTTAGGCTCTTATTTTCAAAGCTTTTAGTTTTCCTATATTCAAACGTTTTAGGGCCTTTTAAGCATTAAAAAGATCAAAAAACAACACATTGAATAAATTGGTAATCTTTACGCCAACAGTGATACTTTCTCATTCTGAAATTCTATCTGGGGTAAGTTTCAAACCACAAAAACATAACTATGTACCAGTAACTAGTATAGTTCCTATTGCTAGTTTTCTCCTACAAATATTTTCTACCTCTGTCACATTTTCTGTAACAGCTTATCTAAACAAAAAGTGAAAAACAGAGGACCACCCTCACTATCAGCTCTGTCTCCTAAGGGTGATTTGTCCAGGTCATTTTAGTTTTACAATAGTCTTTCTGAAAACAACATGCATGATTTATCAAAACATAAAAAAGGTATTAGCCCCCCCAGCTCTTCATCTATCAAAAATAATTAAACATGTTAAACCTTGTTAACCAGACAAGCCGGTGTACTTACAGAGCATTTTGATGACCTGCCTCCTGCGTCCGTTCTCCGCACTGATCTTGATGCGAGTGTGGCTGCTGTAGCTACTGTCAAAAGTCCCTCTGCGGTTGCATTGGTCCCGGCCCAAGTGGAGCCCCATGACCAGGTAGAGAATGCTGATCACAATCATCGGTATGAAATAGAAGCAGATGGTTGTGACTTGCATGACCACGTTATAAATCCACAAAGGTTTGAGAACGGTGCATATCGCAGACTCCTCCCTCTGTTCCGGAAGGTAGAAGATGCCGTGTAACAAGGTATTGGGTATCGCACAGATCATCGACATGACCCATACGACTGAAATGACTCTTTTGGCGTGATGGTTAGTAGACAAGTATCGCGTTTTCAGTGGATGCAAGACGGCGATGTACCTCTCCACGCTCAGTGCCGTTACGTTAAGAATGGAGGCGAAACAAACGGTCTCGAAAAGAAAAGTCTTGAAGTAGCAGCCCCCCTCTCCAAAAGGGAAAGGGTAGTTTTGCCAAAGATCGTAAAGCTCCAAGGGCATCCCGAACATCAGCACCAGCAAGTCGGAAACGGCAAGGCTGACGAGGTAAAGGTTAGTCGGGTTGCGCATTTTTTTGTGCTTGGCAATGACCGCACATGTGAGAAGATTTCCAGAGAGCCCGGTCAAGAAGATTACCACATATATAGTGGTGACTTGGAGAGAAAATGGTGACCGTTTTGGCCCGAGGATGTCATAAAGGTTGACAAATTGCTCACTAGAGTTTCTTCCAGTGCTGTTCATGACCATACTCGCGTTAGGAAACATTTTGGATAAGTTGGAGCTGGAGGACAACAAAGAAAGTTCCAATTCTGAGACGATATCCATTAAACTGAGTGGAGCTGTGATCATATGCTGCCTTGGATGTTGGTCAATAAAACGCAGCTGCGAATAGAAAAGAGAAATAAATCAAATTTCTGTGATGAAAGCTGAGTCACACACATCCCACACACATCCCACTGGGCAAGTACAATGACTTGAATAAAGTCTGTCAAGGCAGACATTGATAAACAGTAGAATGAATTATGCTTTTTACATTGTACCATGAATACGTAATGACATTGCACATGGGATCATTTGTCTGTTTTAAATGGACCGTGTGTAAGTTTTTTAATTTCATATTTGCAGTTGCCAACAGTCATGGACCTGTTCTCTCACATCAATTTTCTACTGTATTGCAATCAGAATAAGCCAAGGGAGGGAGGGGTACACTGTGAGATATCCATATCCATATAGAAGGAATCTGGATTTTAAAATGCCTTTTGCAAGAACAACACTCAAACAAATGTCCATCTCATGCGCTGGTGTAAAACTATGGAACTCTGTGGACAATGAATTGAAAACATATTACAATTTAAGTTTAAATGTAAACAAAAAATTACCAAATCCTATTTTAAATGAAGTGAGAAATAGTATTGAATTTGTATTAGTTGTATTTGTTGTATTTTGACACGAAGCCATCTATGTTGTCTTACTGTCTTACTATGTCCCCACACTAAATACTTGTCTCATCTACAAGTAGTTCATACTCTGCTGTGCCATATAACTTTAATGTTCAATCAATACCTCCCAGTCTCACAGAGAATGAGATTTTAAATTCTGGTGCTGGTGTTGGAAGCTCTTCATGGCCATGCGCTTGAATTTCATTACGAGCCTGATCCAGCCTAACAGCAGCTTGATGTCTTGTACGCAGAACGTGTCGATGGCCCTTCGCACCTCTCTTTAAAAACCTGAGGAGACAGATAGTCGAAGGTGATAACTCCTTGCCTTTACTGGCTTATGTGCATGATTCCAAGTTTCAACTGAAAATGCACTTAAATTTAGGCAGGGTTTCAAGCCACATAACCCGTAACCCTCAAGGTTAACAGGATGTGGCCTTTTCTGAGCATAAGTCTCCCATTTTAATCCTCTGCACCCTTTGGGCACAGATTCTCCCTAAATGTATTTTTGGTTCAAACAGTCCTTGTTCAGTAAACAGCTCACATACAGATTTCTCAAATGTTGGTATTTAGAATGGATTCTTGTGTCAGCTGGGATCACTACTGTCCCCAGTGGTCTGCTTGTGTACTGCTTTGTTGCTAAGATGCTTTTGACTTTGTTCATGTGGATAAAAATAAACTGAACGAATATATAAACACAGTGCTTATCTTTTTGCTTCCATTTTTCATGGATTCAACCAAAACAAAACTCTGTATATATCCTGAACAGACCCCCATGTTCACAAATATGTCTACAGTAAATCAATCTATATATAAATGAATCATGCTAAACCGCTAGCTCTATGGACGTGTTTTATGGACAACATTTTGCTCAGACTTGCTGTGGCTCTTTCGTGGCTAGATTAATGCTACCCAGGAAGAAGTTTGTCCCAGATTTCAGTGTTTGAGCTGTATAAAGATTCAGATTCATTTTGTTTGCCATTTGCAGTGAAACCACATTGAAATACATTTGCAAAAGTCCCCAGTGTGCACACGACAAGTACAGAAATAAAAATCAGGTTGAATCTGCTATATGGCAACACTGTGGGCTTTTTTATTTTTATTTCCATCTTTATTGAGGACAAATATAAAAAATCAAGACAGACAAACAGGAACACAAACACAACAACAACAAAAAGACAAGTAAGGACAAACAAGGAATATACAAACAAACAAAAACAAAACAAAAACCAGACAAAACAGGATTTCTTTCACATTCACACAAAAACTAAAAATGTATAATAATCAGAATTTCTTTCCAATGACAAGGCATCAAGAATTTTCTCACGCTTTTTTGGCGTTTTCCTTTTTCCACTGAGCATTCTTCTAAACTGTGATAGTGCTCAACATCTACTAACAATTTACTACTAAATCTTACAGTATTTAAAGATATTTTATTACTGGACTTGAATATGAAGTGCTTCCCGATAGGAGAAAAAATACATTTACTATCTCTTTAAATGTTGTGTCTCCAAAAAACCCTAATAATATTAACGAGGGACACAGTACAATATTGAAACTTACTTTTTTTTAGAATTTCAGAAATAGTAACCCAAAGGTCTGCCACCACAGGACAGTACCAAAATAAGTGATCAGTTTACTCAACGTCTGTTTGGCAGAAGCCCTAACCCCAAATTTGAGCATTTCTTTGTAGGGATAAAATTATAGAGAATTTTAATTTGGAAGAATCTGGTTTGTGAGTCTGTAGAATTGTGATAAATTGTTCTGAAAACTTCTGGCCAATGAATTGGGGTGTCAAAAAAATCTTCCCATTTTCAGTACATGTTATATGGAAAAATAGCCAGTGCCTTCTTGTTCTTTGGTTTATCTTTGCTCCTCTTTACCATTTATGGTTTCTCAGGGTCGACAGACAAGTATTTTTGATGATGCAGTGTTAATGAGTTTCCATTTTTTCCTAAGGCGCCAGATAATTGGTTGTGTGCCAGGGGGGAGGAGATGTTTCCATATTATTTCATTAACTGACCAAATTCAAACAATTTCCCATCTTCCCCAACAATGTCATTTATGAATATCACTGCACTCTCAAGAGCTTTTTTCCCAAAGTATGGGCTTTCTATCAAAGGGCATATTTGATTTGAGCCATATGATCTGCTGCAAAATCTCATGATCTGCATGCACTCTTTATAGAGAGAATCCATCCCATGTCACAGCTATGGCAAATCAAGATGCTGATCGACAACAATGAAGGAGCACACTGTCATTTGATCCAGAGAATCCCAAACATAAATCCATAGTCCAAAACTTAAATATTGATTGTTTTTTTATTGTGCTCCGGCTAAGACACCTGCACAATATTCATGCCCTTGATACGCCACACCTGTGAAGTTCTTACAAAAAAGAAGACAAATGGACAACAGATTTGTGGGCAAGATTTGTTTAGATTTGTGTTCAGTGTATAAACCGGGAACACAAGGGAAAGACATAAACCTAAATTGCTGCAGAAAGGTGTGCTACAAGCAGGGACAAAGGTTTGGGTTGTGATTATTGTATTTATAAAACCTGTAAGAGCACCCTTTTTTTTCAAAAATGTCGAATTGATACCCTTTGGTATTTAGACTTGTAAGGCAAAGATTAAAACAAAAGGTTTATTTTATCATCCATGTATTTTTCTCATACATATTGAGTCTAGAGACCACCTGTACAAGTAAATTATGCCAAATGTGAAAAAATAGACATACACACACAATATTTTCCTACAGCTAACTCATATTTATGTTCGTTTAGTGGGTGCTTTTCGCTGTTAAAGTTATCGTTGAAGATCCAATTACTCTTATCAACTGGTGATCAAGGGCTCTACAATGGGCAAACATGAAAATACACAGAACAGTGAAACTGAAGCGCTCACTCTTCCGTCTGATAATTAAACTATCGTGAGAAAATAGAATCAGAATCAGCTGGATCTTTTTGTATAATTTCAAAGATGTCTCTTGTTCCGACAGTTCGGTTTCAGGATGGCTTGTCAGGTTTGCAAAAGTAAACATTGTAATAAAGAAATAAGTGACTTACCTTGATGCTGGAAATATTTGTTGCAAAGGTAAATCCAGTCGTTCATCATGAAAGATATTTTAGGAATGATTAAAGATCATTGAGGCTTGGATTACAAACTGTTGCTTCAGACGGTGTGAGATTGGGTGTATACAGTCTGCAATCAGAGAGAAAACTGTGCTGCCACCGCATCATTCAGAATGGGATGAAACTGGAGGAGAGAGAAAGGTAGGGGAGGAGAGAGGAGGGCAATAGAGCGAGCACATCTTTGCATTTATGGAAGAGAGCATATGGACCATCAGAGTGTCGAGCCCAGTGCTAATGTGGGTTTTAAATTCTAACATAAAACATCCTACATGCTCTAGAAATTACATGATAGAAGGCAAATAATGACATGGTTGGCATTCACTCTGTCTCACGTCTTGAACAGACCTGGAAAAAGTGCGGCCCCGGGGCCACATGCGGCCTGATTGAAGTTTCTATGGGGCCTCTTTGACCTTTCCCATCCTCAAGCCGTATACCATCTCCCCTGTTTAAATGAATTCCCATTCATTTAAACAGGGGAGATCAATACCCAATTAAGTTTTATAATGACATGTTTTACCTCATAATTCATAAAAACACAAACACTGAAAAAACAGAATATGCATATTTAATAATAATAGTAAAATGTTAAAACTAATATAGCTGCAGATGCAGCTATTTTAGTACACTGCAGTACACCGCTATAAGATGACACACTTTACACGAACACACCTCTTCTGTAAATATTGTTGTTGATCAAGTACACACAATTTTTTAATCGTTTTAAACTTAAAGCTGCATTACCTCACTTTATTTTTGTATTCATTATGAAAATTCTGTTTATACCGATTATCCAATGTGGCCCCCTGGATAAAATAATTGCCCAGCCCAATCTTGACACATACTTGATTTTTAGCATTAATGGAAGATGAAACTCTTCATGCTATTCCAGCCATTCATCTATTCAAGTGGAACAAAAAATATTGTGCAAGTCCTCTCACTTACGCCTCATACAGTATATGAGACTATACGAGACAATACATGAAAAAATAGTCTAGAAATACC